TGTGGGTTTTAGGTTTCTTAAATTCTTTCCTTTTTTTTTCCTAATAACAGATTCTTATTCTTCCTAGGTTTGGTCCTTACTTTCATTTTCTTTTTTCTAACTCCGTATTCTTATCACCAAGGGTTGTGACTAGTAAGGTTTATTGATAAATCTAAAGATTATTGAACAAGAGTTGCTTTGAGTGAAAAAGGAAAGAGAGGTGAGAGCATTATAGGAAAAAAGTCAAATTTGAGAGATACATATTTCCTTTAATCTATATCAAGATGTCTCAAACAGGTAGTTATAGTGGAAGGAGGAGAGCTATGACACAACAACTTGAAAAGTCGAACTTACAATATACCGAATGGAAGGAAGACAATGGTAAAGTTATTTTTCAAACAAGAGCTAAAGTGATGTCTGCGATTTATGCCCTTAGAATTGACAAAGCATTTGGCTATAACTTAATTAGCACTTATATGGTTGAGAAATTGAACTTGCCTTGTGTTGAACATATTGAACCCTACATGTTGAAAGGAGTAAAGGTAGATAAAAGAGTGTTATTGCAATTATCTATTGGAAGGTATGAGGATGTGATTTGGTATGATGTCATTCCCATGAATAGTTTTCATATCTTGCTGGGAAGGCCATGGTATGTCTATAGAAGTGCTTCATATTGTATGGATAAAATAGATACTCTTTTGAGGAATGGGAAGAAACTCATTCTTGGGCCTTTGACTCCCTCACAAATTTGTGAAGATGAAAAGATTATTAAAGAGAATAAGGAAAAATATGAGAGAGAAAAGAATGAGAGGAGTAAGGGAGTGCATGTTGACATTCCAAGAGAGGATAAAGGAGAGGTTGTCTTGAGTGAAAAAGAGTGGGATATCAAGTGAGGAAAAGAGTGATCTTGGGAAAAAACAAAAGAGAGAAGGCAATGAGATAACAAAAGTCTGTGAGGTAGAGATNAGAGAGAAAAACAAGAGGGTTTGAGTGAAGAAAAAGAAAAAACTTTAGTGAGAGAAAAGAGGCTAAGGGTGAGGAGAAAGTTAGTCTTGTGATAAAAGCCAAAGAGAGTGTAAGCAAGAAAAAGTTTTCATTACATCCTAACCCATTAACTCTTTCTTATATTAGTTTGTGTGATTTTGTGCAGCCACATGTTGAAAGAACTTTTGAAAGGGGAGGTGAGGCGCAAGAGATGGTGGCAAAGGATCCAATTGGATTCCAACATTTCTTGTTCGATAGTGGAAGATAAAGGCTTGGTTAAATTCTTTATTATTGAACATTTTGACTATTTTGATCCTTATTTACAAGTTTATGACATGGAGTTGCCTAAAAGCATTGCTAAGTTGGAGCCATTGAATAAAAACATACAGGTGATGATGTTCCATTGGTAAATAAGTCCAAGTATGGTATGTATAATTGGTTTATTAAAATTCTTGGCCTTTCTAGAACACCTAAGGTATTTTTGGAGGTAATAAACTATACTCTTATTTCTTATGTTGGTGACTTTATAATTTTTGTGGATGATGATATTTCGATGCATATCAAGTCATTAACTGTAATATCTAAGTTCAAGTGCAAGAGTAATTTACTGTCTTTTGAAATTCAGTATGACATAGATGATTATGTATTCCAATTTGGTGCAAAGAGACATGAAATTTATGAGAAGAGGCTTGCGAATGAGTTAAATATTTCTTCTTCTCTTATTCAAGTGTCTAATGAGTTTTCATGTGATAAATTGCTAGAATATGATTTTTGTTGTGTGATAGGGAGTCATTCTTCAAGTCATGTTCACTGTGAGCTTGTAAAAGTGTTTGCTACTAGTAAAGAGGATATGCATGATTGTTGTGACACTTGTGATCAAATACTCTTTCATATAGAGGAATCCATGAGATTTGTAATTGTAGATAGTTGACTATATCATAAAAGTGTCTTCTTTGATACATGTGGTAGAGATACTTATATTAAATGGATGTGTGGTCAATCTTTTATAATTTCTTTTTCATGTATACCTATGGACTACCTTACTGACAAGATCGAATTGCAAGTTCCATTGCATAGTGCATCTAAGAGAGTATTTTATTGTATTAATCTAGGTAGGCATAAAATTTATTGGGATGATGATGTCCACATGCTTTATAAGGGATTATTTACACCTATTAGGATTAGTTGGATTAAATGGACACATGGTCACTAGCTTGTTTTATTTCTACTATTTTTTTTAGATTAGTGAATGCCATTTACTAGTGCGTGTTTTCTTTTTCTTGCAAGGTCGAAATTCGAGGACGAATTTTCTTCAAGTGTGAGGAGAGATGATAGCATCCTAGGAAGCTCAAATCTATTCAAAGACAAGGATGAAGCTTTGGAATCTCAAAGAGGGCCTTTAACAAGATGTCAAGCTAAAGAGTTGTAAAACAAGGTCATTAGACTTCAAGTGCAAATAATGAAGCTATTAATTGGGAGGAAGTGCTCAAGGATTAAGGATGTGAATTGGCTACATGTTACAATTGTTTTATGGCCCACATTTATGTCCAAGAAGAGGAGTATTGGATCCTAAGAGATATCCTTTGAAGAAGGTCCTAATTAGTCCACTTTTGGACCATTTTGGCACCTAAAATGCGTCCAAACTTGCAGCCCAATAAGTCCTACATGAAGTCACGTTTTTATAACATAAAAAAGACTTACTTGAATCATACATATGGAACCTCTTGCCCACATTGTCAATCACCCTTGCATGGTAAAAGACCTTGTGCCGTAATATAAGTCACACTCGCAGAGAAAAGACCTCGCTCCACAATATAAGTCACACTCGCATGGCAAAGACCTCGTGCCACAATGTATATCGTACCCGTGTCAATTACCAATAACACATTCAAGAGAAATTTATCAAGAATCCAATAAAGTAATGCATGATAACACCTTCTTTTATTTCAATCCGTTATGCTACCAACAACTTAATAGAATGTGAGATAATAACTCTACGTAGGTAAGTCCATCTTCGTAACCAAATCATCAAGTAATATGGGAGATATGGAGTAGCACATTGGGAACAATGCAACAAAATACATAAAATGCATGACACACACAAGGAAGTCATAAGCACAAACAAGAATACTCATTTTTCATCAATAACACTCCCTCGTGCCATCACATATCATCCCCCACATAGCCATTCTTATCTCACCGCGTGCGCAACAATAAATAAATGCCCGCTTTGTCTTGTCACATGCGTATTAACAATATCCCACCTTGTCTGGCCATATGCGCAAACTCGATATATATAGCATGTCTTGTCTTGTCGCATGTGAAATATATATAGTGAACCCTAACCCTAACACTAGCTCAGCTATAGTAAACCCTAATTTTTTCATGAAAGTTAAGGGTAATGTTAGGGTGGAGGATAAGAAGTAACTTGTGGTGACCTCTTCACCTACTCTTCAGGTGAAGAAATTTCCTAAAGAAAGTGCCAACAAGATTGTTTTACCTAAGTAAGATTGGAAAAAAAACCAATTGATGCATCAAAAGATGGATAGTGTTGAAGATGATCATGATAATATGGGAGGTAGGGATCTTGATGAAAAACCCACAGCCCAAAATTTCATGAACGCAGCAAGGCAAGGAGACCTATCTTCAAGGCAAACTGACAAAGACAAATTAGTGGGCAACGAGAGGAAGAAGCAACAAAAAGAAATTTCTAGTGTGCAAGGGACTGGGGTACAAACGAGAAGGACATTATCTAAATTCATAAATTAGCTGTGAATGCTATTATATGAAATATTGGATCAGTCAACACTAAGAAAGCCTTTGAAAGGCTTATGACAATGCATGAACAATACCAATTCTACTTGATTGGATTAATGGAACCAATGCAAAATGCCAACAAGTTGGAAGGTTATAAGAGGAAGCTTGGATTGCAACATGCTTTTGCTAATGTTTCTATAATAAAGTTTGAGACTTTGTGGATGAAGCTTATGAAATTTCATTCTTGTTTGACATGGAACAACATTGGACACATAGGCTATTTAATCCGGAAACTTAAAAAGGATTTTATAATCACTCTTGTGTATGCTAAAGGTGATATTGTGGAGAGAGTTGAACTTTGAAATTCAATGTATGCATTAGTTAATAATATGGTTATCTCTTTGGCTAGTTGGTGGTGACTTCAATGTCATTGTCGATGAAAAAGAGAAGTTTAGGGAGATTGCTAGTTTCAATGAATGAAGTGGAGTACTATCGGCATTGCATAAACACTTGCAATTTGTTCGATCTAAGTTGTAAAGAAAGCATATATACATGGTGGAATGACAAAACTGATGATGATTATATTTTCAAAGAACTTGATAGATGTTTGGCTAACCTAGAATTTCAACAAATGCTGCTAGTATTGGAGGTGACACACTTGTCCAAAACAGGCTAAGATCACAGCCAAATGATCCTATCTTGTGATCTCAATATTGCTCCTATAAAGAAGTCATTCAAGTTTTTGAAGTTTTGATAAAACATGAATCTTTTCTAGATATGGTGAAGGAAAATTGGAAGGCAGATTTTGTTGGTAACCCTTTCATCATGTTCAATTACAAGTTGAAGAAGTTGAAGAAAGCATTGTCTACATGGAGTAAAGCTACTTATGGGATCATTTTTTAGAATATAGCTAGTTTAGAAGAGCTGCTCAAATTACATAAAAATCAATTTTAGTTGAACCCTACACAACTTAATAGAGAGAGGCTTTTGAAGGTGCAAGCAGAATTCATTAGATATCTTTATCTTGAGGAGGAATTTTGAAAGAAAAAATCTAGGATGAATTGGTTTCAAGATGGTGATAGGAACATAATTTTTTTATGCTCAGGCCAATGAAGAAGAAAGAGATTACATGTGAAGATAATTCAAATAGTGTGAGCCAATGGCTTGGAGGCAATGAAGCAATGGCAGAGGATGCAATGATTTATTTTCAGGCTCAATTTCATGAGGAGGGGGCTTCTACTACCTTTGGAATTTGAGATCATGTATTAGTATTAGTAGAGATGGGGCAAAATCAAGAGATTATCAAACAACCTACAAAAGATGAAGTAAAACAAGCAGTCTATGGGCTCAATGGGGAGAGTGCACGAGGTCATAATGGCATCAATGGTTTCTTCGTCCAAGCTGGTTGGGATATCATTGGGGATGATGTTTTTGATATGGTGAAGGATTTCTTTAATGATCGGGGGCTGCCTAGATTCGTCACTCATACAAATTTAGTTTTATTGCCAAAAAAGAAAGAGGTTACTACCTTTTCTGATATGAGGCCCATTATTCTAAGTAATTTTATTAACAAGGTATTTTCTAGAGTCATTCATGAAAGGTTAGTTGATTTGCTTCCTAATTTAATATCTGATGAGCAAGCTGGATTTGTCAAGGGTAGAAGTATTGTGGAGAATATCATATTGATTCAAAAGATTATCACTGATATTAGATTGAGAATCAAGACAAGACCTAATATAGTGATCAAGATAGATATGACTGAAGTTGAGTGTAAGTTGGTGTCAAGGTGCTTGCAAATGTCCTTCAAGATTTTCAAGATATCCAAGATTCTATCCAAGATTAGTTTTGGACTTTCAAGATCCTATCCTAAGGTTGTTGGACTTTATGTCCAAAGTAGTTAGGACTTTCTTTCTTTTCCAAGATTTGTAAGATTTCCAAGATTGGTTTTGGACTTTCAAGATCCTATCCTAAGGTAGTTGGACTTTTTGTCCAAAGTAATTAGGACTTTCTTTCTTTGTTTTTTTGGTAGAATTTCGTGACCCCCTCTCTATATAAAAGGTGTCTTCTTTGTTTTTAGGGAGAGGTTATGATAGACAATATCAACAAAAATTGTGAGATTTTTCTGACACTCTTGTGTATAGCTACTCTTGGATTTATTCTTCAAGATTTAAGAATCAACTTAAGGTGGTAAGATTAAGCTATTTTCAAAATCTTAGATCACTTCTAGGTATTCAAGAAAGGTGATAAGTTTAGGATTATTGTTGTTCTTGTTATTCTTGGAATTTGTTCCAGCTGTGGAGAGGCCCTTGGCTATGGATGTTGAGGCCTTGGCCAATAGATTTGTGAGGTTGGATATTTCTGAGCCAGTAGATTTCTTGCTTGTGTTGTTGCACAGTCACTCTTATTTGAGCGCATTAAGGCTCGAAAATATGGTGATTCCCATTTGCTTGTACTTAGGGACACGGTGATGCTAAGGAGGTAGTTATTGGTGAAGATGGTGTATTGCGACTTCAGGGCCGGATTTGTGTTCCTAATATGGATGGTTTGAGGGAGTTGATTCTTGAGGAGGCTCTTAGCTTGTGGTATTCTATTAACCTAGGTGTTATGAAGATGTATCGTGATTCGAGGAAGCACTATTGGTGGCAGAGGATATAGAAAGACATTGTTGGTCATGTTTCGCTGTGTTTGAATTGGCAGCAGGTCAAGTATGACCATTAGAAACTAGGTGGTTTGCTTCAAAGGTTAGATATACCGGAGTGGAAATGGGAGCGCATTACTATGGACTTTGTGGTAGGCTTGCCACGGACCTTGAGGAATTTGATGTTGTTTGGGTCGTTGTAGATAGACTGGCCAAGTCTGCGCATTTCATTCCAATCATGACTTCTTACACTTCAGAGAAGTTGGTTCAGATCTACATTAGGGGGATTGTATGTTTGCATACTGTGCCTATTTCTATGATCTTGGATCGGGACACTCAGTTTACATCACACTTTTAAAGAGCGTTCATCGTGAGTTTGGCACACAGCTGAAGTTGAGTGCTTCTTTCACCCTCAAGTGAATGGACAGCCCGAGCAGACCATTCAGATCCTTTAGGATATGTTAAGATCCTGCGTTATTGATTTTAGAGACCGATGGGATCAATTTCTACCATTAGCGGAGTTTTCTTACAACAACAACTACAAGTCTAGTATCCAGATTGCTCTATATGAGGCATTATATGGGAGGCGATATTGTTCAATGGTTGGTTGGTTTGAGCCTGGTGAGGCTAGGTTATTTGGCATGAATTTGGTTCGTGATGCCTTGGAGAAGGTAAAGTTGATGTAGGAGTAGCTTAGAAAAGCACAGTCCAAGCAGAAGAGCCATGCCGATAGGAAGGTTCATGATCTGGCTTTCATGGAGGGTGAGAAGGTTCTTCTTAGAGTTTCACCCATTAAGGGAGTAATGAGATTTGGGAAAAAGGGCAAGTTGAGCCATTAGTATATTAGTCCATTAGAAGTTTAAGAGAGAGAGTTGGTGAGGTCTACTTTGCCACCCAGCTTGTCGGGAGATAATCCAATATTTCATGTTTCCATGCTTTGGAAGCATCATGAAGATCAGCCACACGTGTTGGACTTCAGTTTAGTGCAGTTGGATAAGAACTTGGCTTATGAAGATGAGCTAATGGCCATTTTGGATAGGCAGGTTCGGAAGTTGAGATCGACAGAGGTTGAATTAGTGGAGGGGTCACCTGGTCAAGGAAGCGACTTAGGATACTGAGCATGATATGTGGAGTAGATATTCACATTTCTTTGGCATACCACGTATGATTCTAAACCTGTTTGAGGACGAATATTTGTTTAAGAGGGGGAGAATGTAACGACTTGACCCGATCGTCTTATGTATTTGAGCCCCTTTTTCTTATTTGATTCTCCCCATATGCCTTTTTTGTTTTGTGACTTGTGGGGATGGTTGGTTTGGTTTAGGGAAGGTTTGAGAGTGAATTGGAACACTTAGTTCAAATTTGGATAGCTTAAGTTTATTAGACTTGACCAAGGTCTCAATTTTGAGTAGGCGATCTCAAATTGGTATTTTGATGGTTCCAATAGATTCTTATGATGATTTTGGACTTAGGCGTATGCTCGGATTTGGATTTAGAGGTTCCTAGAAGGTTTTGGCTCTATTTGCCGAAAGTTGGCAATTTAAAGATTTAGAGAGTTCATAGGTTTGATCGGGAATTGACTTTGATGTTATTGGGGTCCAATTGGTATTTAGGGACTTTGGTTAGGTTCGTTTAGTTGATTGGTACTTGTGTGCAAAGTTTGGATGGAATCCGGATGGTTTAGGCATAATTCTAACGTGTTTGGCAAAGTTGTAAAGTTTGGTAGTTAAGAGGTAGATTTTCATCATTGATTTTTTATGTTAGTTGTGGTGTTTAAGGATTTGGATAGGTTTGGATAAGGTATTAGGAATTTTTGGTATGGTTGGATGGGAGCCCGGGGGCACGGGTATGTCTAAGATGGATTCCGGGCCATTTTGGAGTTTGTAGGTTTGGGTGCGCAGGTGCAGCGTCACGCTTGCAAATCAAGAGGCGCACAAGAGAGGAGGAGCTGGAAGCTGGGTGACCACTTCTGCGAAGGTTGTTGTACAAAGGCAGATGCATAGAAGCGAAGGTTGTTGCGCACTTGCGTTTGCGCAAAAGCAATTTGGGTCACATGTGTGGGGCTTTGTTGGGGGTATTATATCGCAGAAGTGAGCATTTCTCGCAGAAGCGCGACTTTTGTTCGCAGAAGCGTAATAACTAACAGACCTCTTATATTTCGAGGGTTTATTCATTTTTCATTATTTTGAGTTTTGGAGCTCGGAAAGAGGTAATTATTTGGGGAAAGTTTCACTATTATTTTTAGAGTAAGTAATTTCTATTTGGATTTGATTATATATCGTGTTTCTCCATGGATCTATACACTTAGAACATGAATTTGAAAGAGAAAAATTGGGGGTTTTGTCATAGATTTTGGAAAATGAATAATTGTGATTTGAACCCCGATTTGGATCGGATTTGGATGAGACTTGTATGTTTGGACTCGTATTCGAATGGATAGTCGGAATTTATGAGTTTTGGGAAGCGAGATCGGGTTGAATTTTTGTTTGACTTTGTGCAATTGATTAAAAGATCAAGCCTTTATGCTCCATAATTATTTTCTTTAGTATTATTTGACACCATGTTGTGTTATTTCACTAGATTTGGGTTGTTCAGAGGCTGATTTGCGAGCAAAGGCGGTCTTGGAATATTCATTTTGCTTGTTTGAGGTAAGTATCTTTTCTAACATTATTTCGAGGGAATAACCCTTGGGATTTGACCTTTTTTTATCTAATTACAATGCGTGGAAAGCAATATATATGTGAGGTAACAAGCGTTCATGTTGGGTTCTATGTATGATTCATGATCGGATTAGACTTTTGGCTTCTATTATGCCTTGTTTGGACTGTGTGCTTTCTATGATTCATGTTTTAATCATTTGTATGACTATGTGAACTTCTTGAATCATGCTAGGGATCATGTGTATGTTTTGATTTACTATTTGAACATGATAATCGTTATTGTATAGTGTAGACGCCTAATTTGAGTTGTAGTCGTACACTTTGCACATGGATACACCTTAATATACCATTTTATCAATCCATGAACATGTGATTTGATACTCATTGTTCGCATACATGTATTCTTTTATATGTTTTTTTGTGAAATGGACTGGAATGATAGCACGTGAATGATCCATGTGGGTCGAGTTGTTATAGCACAGTCTGTGTAGTTGTTATGATTATAACACGTGAGTTGTCCATGCATCATGTGGATAAAGATCCATCCCTTTAAGGTTGTCCTCCCATGTTCCTCTCTTGACGACATACACGCGGATTATGGAAAACTAATCAGTGTTTGGTTTTGCGTATCTTCTCGATATGAAAATACCTTGGATGTATACATGATTTTCATCGCATATCTTCTCTATACGCTAGCTCCGGAATGTATATATGTCTCTTTGTGCATTTCTTCTCTATATGTCAGCCTATGTAACTTGTCTTGCTTATTCATGCATATATTCTCTATATGAAATTGTCGTTGAGTTATTGATGCTAGGTATATATCTTCTCTATATGATGGTCTATTAAACTGTTACGAAACATGTGCATATCTTCTCTATGTGCACTGATTGTCTATACATGTACTTCATGCATAGATTGCGGTACTGTTGCTGTGTGCTTGTATATTTATGAACGGAATGGGTTTGATAAGAGAGTATCATTGATGACTCTCGCCACTACCTCGCCAAGGTTAGTCATGATACTTACCGAGTATGAGGGGTCAGTTGTTCTCATACTACACTCTACACTTAATTGTGTAGATTCAGAAGTCGGAGCCAGCTGAGTGTTGAGAGTTAAACTGTTGTTGTAGCAGTTGAGACACGAGGTAGAGCTGCTTCCTAATCGCAGCCCCTGGCATCTCTTTCTATCTTTCATTACTATTATTGTTTCTGATAGTATTTTGCATTAGCATACTTGTGGTCATATATTAGAGCTCATGACTCAGTGTTATAAGTTATGGAGATTTGTTGTATTGATTTGGTATTTATCTATGATTGTTCAACTTTCAAACTCATTTATTCTGCATATGTTATTATTTTTCATAATGTTTTATGATTGGCTTACCTAGCAAGTGGGATTAGACACCATCACGGTTGGTAGTAGTTTTGGGTCGTGACAACCAATATCAATTACGTGATTCTAACATTAATTTCTCCTCGAATAATAGCGAATCAAAGGATTTCATTCAAGATTTCAAGTGAAGAACTTCTAGGGGTTTATCACCAAGGTAAGAAATCTTCTTCTAAGATATGACACAGATTCATATGAGTATTGATAGTATATTTTATGGTGAGGATTCAAAGGACGGTGATCGAAAGTCGTGAGTCCAAGTTTTGCTATTTGTTTGAAATGGTTAGCGGAGGTTTGTATGTTGATGCTACAATGGCGGTATTGGTCAGCCTCATAAGATGTCTAGTGTGTTGTTATGAGCTACAAGAGAGGAAGGGTGTGGTTAAATGCTATCGCAAAAGAATCTTGGAACTTTACGCTCATTAAGTGTTCAACGAATTACCTAAACGGCTAGAGCAAATGTTTTGTTGTTAACATGAGTTCCTATTATCATTATTGTTATTTATTGAAGCTGCAATGAAGTATTTTGATCATCGTAGTATGTTAAGGATTGGAATCGAGCTCTATAAGGCTAAATCTCTTCTCCTGGCTAAGGCATGACCTCCCGATTATGTGTTCCTTCTTATATGAGTGCTTGAGGTTTTAGCGGATAGAAGTACTTGAGTCACCATGTCATTTTCTATCCGAGTACACACTCTCTCACATGTTATCTTTCCTACTGTGTTGAGCCTTCAATTGTGATCCTATATGATCTATTGTCTTCTATTTGAAATATCCATGTCACATGTGCTAAATGCGTCACTTGCCCAAAGCATGTCGATCATATTGAATCATGCGTAATGTCTTCCATAAGCTAATGAAATGGTATCCTAAGAATGCTACTCATTTCCTCATGTGCTACTTGATACACCTGATCATGTGCATAGCACGAGGCCCTTGCGACTTAACCTGTTCATGTGATCCCGTGCATGAGGCCCTATGACCTTAATCACTTGCACATGTGTTATATTCCCTTGTGGCTCACTTTCTCATGTGTAATATTACTCTCAGCGACTTAAGAACATGTGTAATTTACAAAGATCCAAATGCTCTAAAGTAACATGATCCCAAGTGCTACATTGAACAATCAAAAAAACGTATATGTCATAAGAACAGTAAGACTTGACATGTGTTTCTATAGGTTGTTTCCTAGTCTGATACACTCATTTGATTATACTTCATTTGTCTCTTGAATGAGCTTCAGTATTTTCATATGGTATTATGTTTGCCTTAAAAACAAGTACAATTCTATTTGTACTCATGTTCCTTTTGTCGGGGGCACTACATTTATTGTAGGTTTAGATGCACAGGTTGGTAGACATCCTCACTAGGCATTTGCTGGTGTTCAGCTGTTGAGTGGTGAGCTCCATTTCTATCTCGGGCCTAGTTGAGTCTAGTACTCTTTTTGATGTATATGGAGACACTATGGGTAGGTCGGAGCCATGTCCCGATAGTATGATAGTTGTATAGTTTTTAGTTTANTATATATGTTCCCAAAGAATTCTATATCATTTGATCCATGTTAATAGCTGTCACGACCCAAAATCCTGCCATAGGCATCGTGATGGCACCTAGTCTCTAAGACTAGGTAAGACGATTACGTATAATAGCTAAATCAGTTAAACATGATATTAAGAACTAAAATTTGTATAAAAGAGAAGTTTAAAGGTGCTACAAATCCCCAAGACTAGGTAGTACAGAGTAACGAACTCTACCGAATACATATCATAACTCAAAATACAATGGTGTTCGGATAGAGATTTAACTGTAATAATATAAGGAAAGGACTCCAAAGGACTGCAACGACCAAGCAGCTCTACCTGGAATCCTCGCGATCAAAAAGCTAACTCTGCCTGAGTCTGTTATCTCCAATACCTGGATCTGCACAAAAATGTGCAGAAGTGTAGTATGAGTATACCACGGTCGGTACCCAGTAAGTATCTAACCTCGGTGGAGTAGTGACGAGGTACACGTCAAGACACCTACTAGACATAATAACCTGTGTAGAACATCAGTATAAATCTAATAATGGAAGCAAGAAACCATAATGGAAACAAGGAATGAACATGTAGAAAAGCAGTAATGTAATCAGAACATGCTTAAGTACCCGTGAAACCAAACAAGGAAAACAAATGACAACCAATTAATAAAATTGTTCCCAACGCATGACTTGCAACAAGAATTACCCTGAGGCACCACACCTCGCAACCACAAATCATAAGCCACAATTCCGAATCTTAAACGCATGGCACCTCGTGCCCACATTATAAATCCCATTCGCATAACAAAGTCCACATGCTACCATGTACATTGTATCCGTGTCAAATGCCAAATAAAATGTCCGAGATATTTATTTAAATACAATAAGGCATAATAACAATCTTGAATAAAGTAAGGCGTCAATTGAAATAATGACTTTATTTTAAAAAATAATAAAGTATAATTTATACAAAATAGAGTATCAAACGAGTTTAGTTTAGAAATCAATAAGGTAAAGTAAATAGCATCTTTAAATTAAGAAAAATATCTGATAAGTTAACGAATTAAATATTGGATCTGTTAAAGTAAGGCGTGATAACAATTTCACATAAAGTAAAACATCAAATAGGGTAATGAGTTTTAATTTGAGAACAAAATTAAAGTAAAATGGAATATTCATTTAAAAATATCAAAACACCAATTGAGATAACGAGTTCTATCTTAAGAGTCACATAAAATAAAGCATGTTAGTAACACTTTTGCTTAAAATCGATATGTTACCAACAACTCAACAGAGTATGAGACAATGACTCCATGCAAGTAAATTCATCTAGAAGCTCAATTCACCAAGTAACATGGAGGCACAGGTTGGCACATTAAAGCAACACAAAAAATCACGTAGAATGCATGACTCTCATAAGAAGTCACAATCGTTCTCACACAAATTATAACAGCAAATAACCAAATACAATCAAAATAAAAGTGAGATGATTTAAGGAAAAACAATAATCGTTCAAATCAACAAGCCTTTCAAATGTAGGATGTACAACAAAATCACTCCGAGGTACCACACCTCATATTCATATTTCACAAATCACAATCACAATCTTTCCTTATATCGCCATGTGAGCCTTACATTTAGATTTTTGAAAATATTTTTTTCCTGAAATAGCTACAGGCATTATAGCCCCCTTATGTCGCCGCGTGGCTTCAAGTAATTCCCTTACTAGCAACACGCACATAAATCCCACCTTATGCTGCCACATGCACATTAACCTATATAGTTATACTGCCGTATGCGCTTCAATATCATAACACAATAACAACTCGCACCACAAGTTCCCATATGCCACAACTTGCCAAAATCAACAATACAAAAGTCACCACAACATATAGCCCATGACTCATCTATAATGTGAACAAGAATCTCAATAATAACAAAATAAATAAGAATTACTCAACAAAAAGATATCTCAATAATCAACAACTTCAACCTCAATGTTGTAACGACCCGGTAGGTCGTTTCGAGAGTTGTAGCCCCGTTCCCCAATTTACTGATCCATTTGTGCTTTATAGCTATTATATGACTTATCGGGTTGGTTTGTTCTGGTTCGGAGAGATTTCGGAATGAATTAAGACAATTAGTCTCATAATGGAAAGCTTAAGTTCAAAAAGTCAACCGAATATTGACTTATATGTAAATAACTCCGGATTTGAATTTTGATGGTTCCGTTAGCTCCGTTGGGTGATTTTGGACTTGGGAGCGTATCCGGATTGTGATTTATAGGTCCGTAGTGGAATTAGGCTTAAAATGGCAAAAGTTAAATTTTTGGGAAAATTTACCGGGAGTGAACATTTTGATATCGGGGTCAGATTCTGATTCCGGAAGTTGTTGCAGGTCCATGGTGTCATTTGGGACTTGTGTACAAAATTTGGGGTTAATCGGACGTGATTTGATAGGTTTAGGCGTCAGTTGTAGAAATTTAGAAATTCAAAGTTCATTATGCTTGAATCAATGTGCGATTCGTGTTTTTGATATTGTTCGAGGTGATTTAAGGGTTTGACTTAGTTCGTATGATATTTTAAGACTTTTTGGTATGTTTGGTTGAGGTACCGTGGGGCCTCGGGTTGAATTCGAATGATTTTCGGGACGAGTTTTGAAGTTGAAGTGTTGCTGAAGATTTGCAAATACTGGTGTAATCGCACATGCAGATAGGGAACCGCAGATGCGCACTCGCAAAAGGAAGAAAGGGACCGTAAAAGCGGTCAAGAAGGAAGCTGGCAGAGGTCTCAGGTGCGAGGTCCTTTCCGCACCTGCGTGTCCGCAGATGTGGGTGTTGGATCGCAGAAGCGCATGGGCGCTTGGTGAGGCAACTTCGCAGAAGCGTGTCCGCAGAAGCTGACTGGGCGCCGCAGAAGCGTGAAAGGCCGTAGATGCAGTTAAGTGAACCGCAGAAGCGGTTTTGCTGGGCAGAATTAAAAACATAAGGTTCGTGATTTTCTTCATTTTCAAACATTTTGAGCTCGGACTAAGGCGATGTTTGAGAGGGTTTTCGAGGGGACCTTTGAGGTAAGTCCCTTCTGCTTTTTTTTGATCAATAATCTTGTATCCCCATTGATTTTCCCACCAAGTTTGGGTGTTTATGACGTGTAATTTGGGAGTTTGAGGCTAGGGATTTGGAGAGTTGATTTAGGGGATTTGGGTGACGATTGGGTGTTGGATTTTGATAAAATTTATATGGTGGGACTCGTGGTTGAATGGGTTTCCGAATTTTTTGTCTTTAGTCGGAATTCGAGACTTGGGCTCGGGGGCCGGATTTTTGAGTTATAACTTAGTAATTTATTGTGGAATTGATTCCTTTAGCCCGTTTTGATAATATTGTGCTGTTTGTGGTTATATTCGGGTCATTTGGAGGCTGATTTGCGAGGCAAAAGCGTATTGGAGTAGGGATTTGCTCGGATTGAGGTAAGTAACACTCATAAACTTGGCTCTGAGGGTTCGAAACCCCAAAATATGTGTTATATGATTGGTGTTGAGGTGACATACATGCCAAGTGACAGGCGTGCTGGCGTGCACCATGAGAATTGTGACTTGGTCGATTCCATGGCACTGTATAGTGGACTTATCTTATTGATGTCCGTGGTTTCATCATATGATAAAGTAATTAAGCTGTTAATCATGGTAGAGATCATGTTTAGGCTATATGCCGGTACTGTTGGGACCCGTGGTGGTCGTTTCTTGCTGTTGTCTTACTGCTTTCATTAATATTTTGTACTTAGTCATATTCATTCATTTCACATCATATTTCAGTGTCTGTTGTTACTTATTGATGCATCATATCATTTTTTTGGGCTAGTTTCATTGACATGGTGAGCTCGTGATAGAGACTGGAGAGATTGATGACTGAGTGAAGCCGAGGGCCTGATTATGAGTGACATTTATCAGATCAAGCTGCATGCCGTAGTGGTTATACTTATTTATAATAGCGCTTGGGCTGAAGGAGCCCCTCTGGAGTCTGCACACACACCCCAGTGAGCGCGGTTGATTATATTGAGGGATGGATCTTCCTTGGACATGGATCTTGTCTGAAGCATTATATACTTTAGGATGGATCTTCCCCACGGGCTGGATTGGCCCTACTCGGTACTGGGTGACTAATGGTCAGTCGATGTATATATTTCGGGATGGATCTTCCCTGGGCTGGATTGGACATATATAATATTGAGTTATTGAGCAATTGAGAGTGTGAGCACATGAGGTTGTCAGCATGGTGCATCACATACATCATGTGTATTGGCATGTAGAAGTAGAGAAGTTATATGCTTCTTATCATTCAGATTTGATCTATTTTACTGTTTTGAGTTTATCTGTTGAACTTGAAAGCATGCCTATGTTTCTGCACTGTTATTTATATTAAACTGTGCCGGTTGAGTTCGTCACTACTTTTAGTCCAAAGTTTGGATTTGTTACTTCTTGAGTTGGTTGTACTCACGTTACACCCTGCACCTCGTGTGCAGATCCAGGTGCTTCCGGTCACATCGGCTGCTGAGTGTGGAGTCAGCATCTCGGGAGACTATCGAGGTAGCTGCATGACGTTCGCAGACCTTGGCCCTCCTTCGTTATCTTTACTTATATTTTAGTTTACACTCTTTAGACATTGTATTAGACTATCTTCCATTGTAGATGCTCATGTACTCGGTGACACCCCGGTTTTGGGAGAGATTATATTGGGTTGCGTATTTATTTCTGTTTTCCAAATGTTTCCTTAATTATTAACTGTTTCAGTAATTTTTCAAAGCTTTTGGTTATGTTGAAATAGTTGAGTAATTGGCTTGCCTAGTTCTACGATAGGCGCCATCACGACAATTGGTTTTTGGTCGTGACAAGTTGGTATTAGAGCCTAGGTTACATAGGTCTCATGAGTCATGAGCAGATTTAGTAGAGTCTTGCGGATCGGTATAAAGATGTCTGTACTTATCTTCGAGAGGCTGCCGAACCCTTAGGAAATTTCACATTCTTGTATTCTTGTCATGCGGATTTGTTGTTTCCGGTGATGAAATTTCTGTATTCTATTCTCTCACAGATGGTGAGGACACGTGCTACCTGACAAGATGGACAGTGACCAGTACCACCGTCTAGGGCCACGAGAGGCCGAGGTCGCGGTAGGGGCAGAGGTGCAACTCATACAACAGCTAGAGCAGCACTTGTAGATCCACTAGTTGCTCCAGCTCATGAGCAAGTTCCAATTGTGGTTGAAATAGTGGGGGGCATGCCCAGGCACCAGCTATGCCCATTGTGATCCCAGGCCTTCGGGAGACTTTGGCCCAGATACTGACAGTCTGCACTGGTCTTGCTCAGGTGGTTTCGGCTTAGGTCGCACCAGCCACTTCTCAGGCCGGGGGAGGTACTTGTACCACCGCTGCCTGTACTTCAGAGAAGGCGATGCATGGACTTAAGACACCGGAGGCACCACCAGCCCAACCGGTTGTAGCTGCTCAGGTTCCGGTGGTCCCAGTTATGACTGATGATGAGCATAGGAGACTTGAGAGGTTTGAGAGGATTCGTCCTCCATTATTTAGCGGAGCTGAGTCGGAAGATTCCCAGGGCTTCTTGGACAAGTATCAGCGGATGCTTCATACAACAGGTATTCTAGTGATCAGTGGGGTCTCGTTCACTACTTTTCAGTTTTCTAGGGCTGCCTTCATTTAGTGGGAGGCTTATGAGAGGTGCAGGCCGGTCGGTGCAGCACCATATACATGGCAGGAGTTCTCTGTTCTCTTCTTGGAGAAGTTTGTGCCGCAGTCTCACAGAGAGGAGCTTCACAGACAGTTTGAGCAGCTTCGTCAGGATGGTATGTTTGTGACGCAGTACGAGATGATGTTTTTTGAGTTGGCTCATCATGCTGTTTGGTTGGTTCCCACTGATAGGGAGAGGATCAGGAGGTTCATTGATGGCCTCACATATCAGCTGCGGTTGCTTATGACTAGGGTGAGGGTATCTGGTGCTACTTTTTATGAGGTTGTCGATATTGCTCGGCAGATAGAGATGGTACGTAACCAGAAGCGGGTTGAGAGAGAGGCTAAGAGGCCTCGTGGGTCAAGATGTTTTAGTGGTTTTCCTTCTGGAGGTTAGTTCCACCACGGCAGGGGTCGTCCTTATAGGCATGCTCAGACGGCTCGTCTAGTTCACCGTGGTGCATCATCCGACCGCGGTTCACATAGTACAAATCAGGGTCAGTCATCTCTTAGTGCCCTTCCAGCTCAGAGTTCGTCTCATGCACCTTCAGTTCAGGGCTCATCGGCACTGGGTTCTTCTAGCTGGTATTTTGGTGCTCGGGGCTCCCTCTAGTCCCTACCGCCATTCGAAGGGAGGGGTTGTTTCAAGTGTGGAGATATGGGTCACATCAAGAGGTATTGTCCCCGCCTTACGGGAGGTCCAGCTTAGCATATGAGTTAGCCTATGACTTCAACACCCATTACAACTTAGCATAGGCGATACTATTATTGTGGACCGTATGTATCAGTCGTGTGTGGTGACTATTAGGGGATTGGATACTAGAGTTGATCTTTTATTGCTTAGTATGGTGGACTTTGACATGATTTTGGGTATGGATTGGTTGTCTCCATGTCATGCTGTTCTAGATTGTCGCGCTAAGACCGTGACATTAGCAATGCCGGGATTACCAAGGATTGAGTGGAGAGGTTCTCTAGACTATGTTCCCAGCAGAGTGATTTCATATTTGAAGGCCCAGCGGATCGTTGGGAAAGGTTGTTTATCTTATTTGGCCTTTGTGAGGGATGTTAGTGCTGATGCTCCTACTATTGATTCTGTTCCGGTGGTGCAGGAGTTTTCGGATATGTTTCCTGCAGACCTTCCGGGCATGCCACCCGACAGGGATATTGACTTTGGTATTGACTTGGTGTGGGGCACTCAGCCCATTTCTATCCCACCGTATCGTATGGCACCAGCTGAGTTGAAGGAATTGAAAGAGAAGCTTCAGGAACTCCTTGATAAGGGGTTTATTCGGCCTAGCGTGTCACCTTGGGGTGCATCAGTTCTGTTTATGAAGAAGAAGGATGGTACTATGAGGATGTGCATTGATTATAGGCAGTTGAACAAATTTACAATCAAGAACTAGTATGCTTTATCGCATATTGATGATCTGTTTGACAAGCTTCAGGGAGCGAGGGTGTTCTGCAACATTGATTTGAGGTCTGGGTATCACCAGTTGAAGATTCGGAACTCGGATATTCTAAAGACAGCCTTTAGGACCCATTATGGTCATTATGAGTTCCTTGTGATGTCTTTTGGGCTGACCAATGCCCCAGCAGTGTTCATGTATCTGATGAATAGTGTGTTTCAACCTTATCTCGACTTGTTTGTTATAGTATTCAATGATGATATCCCGGTGTACTCTCGTAGCCAGGAGGAGCATGCCCAACATTTGAGGATTGTGTTGCAGTGGTTGAGGGAGGAGAAACTTTATGCCAAGTTCTCCAAGTGTGAGTTTTGGCTCAGCTCAGTGTCATTCTTGGGACACATGGTGTCCAGTGATGGTATTCAGGTAGATCCGAAGAAGATTGAGGCGGTTCAAAGTTGGCCCAGACCGTCCTCAGCTACATAGATTCAGAGCTTTCTCGACTTGGCCGATTATTATCGTCGCTTCGTGGAGGGTTTCTCGTCTATTGCATCACCCTTGACCAAATTGACCCAAAAGGGTGCTCCTTTCGGGTGGTCAATGAGTCTGAGGAGAGCTTTTAGAAGCTCAAGATTGCCTTGACCACAGCTCCAGTTCTAGTTTTTCCATCAGCTTCAGGCTCTTACACAGTGTATTGTGATGCTTTTCGAATCGGCATTGGGTGTGTGTTGATGCAGGAGGGTAGAGTGATCGCTTATGCTTCA